GAACAGACAGACAATATCCAATCGATGCGTCTAAATGATGCTGTAGGGCAGTATTTTTGGAAACTAAAAATGATAAGCCACATTATCTCAGTCTTTTAACAGTTTCTTATTCTCTCTGTTGAGTCTGTCATCTTTATAATTTTATATTAAATCAATGTTTTCTCTTTTTAGACAAATTTGCAAAATCTTATGTGAATTTGGAAAATTGTTAGGTTTTGTTAAATGTTTGAATATTTCCAGAGTAAGATATTACAATGTAGGAATCATTTCACTGCTGGTATGAAATTACTTGAAATAGTCGCCTGCCTGGTGGGCTGTAATTTGACTTATCCTCATACCTACGAGGGAACTAATAGTTTTCACACAGTGCATATACCATGTGTCCTCTCTGTGTCCTCTCCAGGCTAATCCCATGACCAACCCTTTCCCTCTGCTCTATTCATCATTGCTACAGAGATCAAGCCTGAAGATAGCACATTAGTGTGGTCTCCATGTACAGTACAGTATGCCCTTGTGAAAAGTCATAGTGTCCTTGAGCAAGGCACAAAATGCAGCATGTAGTATTCTTGCAGCATACTCCAGATTTCTAGCAATGTTACCTTTTTGTAATTCAAAATCCTTGTGTGTGTTTTCCTCATCTGTGTACAATGTTGAAGGAGGTTATCATGGCCACTGCAGAGTTAACTCGTGCTGTATGGAGTGGAAGTGTTCACAGAAGGACCCAATTATGCAAAATACCCCAAATTACTAACTATACTGAGCATGATACAGCACTCAAACATTGTGAATATCGTTTGCACTGCTGCATAAGGATGCGTGTTCATATGTGTGTGACCAGCCCCTTCCCACACTGGCTCTAATAATAACTATATTATCCATTGTGACTCACTTTAACACCAACTCTGACATGCTGACTCACACACATCAAACTCCACCTGCACAAGTTGCTTCTCTCTTTCAAATATCAGTAACTTCTTCAGACCTTGTGCTGTCGTCCGATGGCTAAAGGAGTAAAGTGAAACAAATTTGTCAGGAAGTCATTAGTCCTTTGGCTAAGGGAATTGCTGTGTTTTCTCACAATAGGACTCAATTGCAGGGAGTTCAACAGTCCCTTGGTGAAATCAGTCCTGGGTCTTCTCCAGATACAATAGTGCAACTCATTAAGACTTCAATTGTCCCCTGGCGAGAGTTTTCTCACGAGAAAATAGGACTAATTTGTTTGCTCTGCTCCCTTTTCCAAAGCTGTACCTATTATTTATTCAACTAAAACGGTACTAATTTATTAAGATTCCAATAGTCCCTCCACTAAAGAAGATCAGGCTTTTCTTGAAATGAAGAGGGACTGATTTATGACAACTCAGCCAAAGCCTAACTGTTCAGTGCGTTAAAAATTAAAGCCCCACTGATGGATTTTTAAGGGGAAGATGCTGATTGTCCTACTTGAGAGTAAAACATTTCAAAGCAGGTAGATGTAGAAAAAATGACAATGATTACAAACCTGCCATTATATGGTTTGGTATTTGTATGTAATGCTTCTAGTCTTGATGATCACTCAAAGCACTACAGTACAGTTTGTCATTCACCCATTCACACAGTGCACACAGAAACTTCAGCATGCAGATGGGGAAGACTGGGATCAAACTGCAGACCTTCTGGTTTGAGGACGACCACTCCACGGCCCCCCATTATCAAAACTTTATATCAAAGAAATTTAAGTGACTTGATATTTTACAGTTTAACCATAAACATTGAGAAAAGTAACAATAAAAACACAAATACAACCAAATGTAT